TGTCAAAACCCATGGAATGTATCACAGCAAGAGTGAACTGTAAGGTAAACTATGGACTTTAGGTGATAATGAGGTCAATGTAGGCTCATTGACTGTAACAGATGTACCACTCTGGTTTGGGATGCTGATAGTGGGACAGGCTGTATGTGTGGGGACAGGGGCTATATGAGAAATCTCTGTACTTTCTACTCTATTTTGCACTGAACTTAAAACCCTAAAAAATAAAGATTTTAATTAAAAAAATAAAATCAACAAAATTTAATTCAGAAAACAGGCAGCTCTGATAGTTACCAAAGAACTGGGAAAATATTTGGTTCCTCAATGTAGCCTGGACACTATGGTTAGCTTATGCATTAATTCATCTATTCTTCAGAACAGTAATAGCATATAACAGACTTTATTTTCAAAATTCCCAAAACTCGGGAGTTCCCTGGCAGTCCAGTGGTTAGGACTTGGGACTTTCACTACCATGGGCCTGGGCTCAATCCCTGGTCAGGGAAATAAGATCCCACAAGCCTCACGGTGTGGCCAAAAAAAAAAAAAAAATCCCAGGGACTTCCCTGGCAGTCCAGTGGTTAAGACTCTGCCCTGCCAATGCAAGGGATGCAAGTTCGATCCCTGGTTGGGGAACTAAGATCCCACATGCTGCGCAGCATGGCCAAAAGATTTAAAAAACAAAGAAAAAAAGAACACCCCAGAGAATCTGGGAGTTCTAAATAAACAAACAAACAAATAAATAAAATCCCCAAACTCAATACACCTGGGAATAGTAAATAAACGAGAGACAAAATAAAAACAAGTTCTCAAAAACAATGCCATTTTAGTGCTCGAAAAACTAAAAGCTACCTAAAAGAGCTATTATGCTAGATTCTGAATTTTTTTAAAGTACATACCACTGGAACTCATATAGCAAACTAAAACAATTTGCTTAACATATTTAATAGTGATATGGCATAATATACATAATTTATATCAGTTTCAATTAAGAACTTAGAAGAATCTCATAAGGGTTTTTTCTCTTTTTTTTTTTTTTAAAAAAACACTTTTTCTTTTTTTTTTCCTGGACGCGGGCCTGTCACTGTTGTGGCGTCTCCCGTTGCAGAGCACAGGCTCCGGACGCGCAGGCTCCGTGGCCATGGCTCACGGGCCCAGCTGCTCCACGGCATGTGGGATCTTCCCGGACCGGGGCACGAACCCGTGTCCCCTGCATCGGCAGGCGGACTCTCAACCACTGTGCCACCAGGGAAGCCCTGTTTTCCTTTTTCTTTCTTTATTTTTGGTTGCATTGGGTCTTCGCTGATGCACGGGCCTTCTCTAGTTGCTGAGAGTGGGGGCTACTTTTCGTTATGGTGCGTGGGCTTCTTACTGTGGTGGCTTCTCTTGTTGCAGAGCACGGGCTCTAGTCACGTGGGCTTCAGTAGTTGTGGCACGCAGGCTCAGTACTGTGGCTCACGGGCTCTAGAGCACAGGCTCAGTAGTTGTGGCACACGGGCTTAGTTGCTCTGTGGCATGTGGGATCTTCCCGGACCAGGGCTCGAACCCATGTCCCCTGCATTGGCAGGCAGATTCTTGACCACTGCGCCACCAGGGAAGTTTCTTTTTTGGGGGGGGGGGGGGCGCACTGCGTGGCATGTGGGATCTTAGTTCCCCAACCAGGGATCTAACTATGTTCAAGTCTTATCTTCATGTCCAAGTGATAAGAATATGCATACACACCACAGTTCTCTGGAATCCCTCTTTAGAGGTTGCAAAATCAACAGAACTCAATATGGCCCACAAAAATGTTCTGTTTGGCCAGAAAAAGTTCTTTAAAATGTTAGTAGATTTACGTGAGACATGGACTCTTTGGTTCAGCCTCTGCCCCAACATTCTTATTTTCCTACATCCAGCCCAATTCATTCAAGGTTGTTATTTGCTTAACCCCACAGTAACTTTGGTTTTAGGCCACTACCCTATATTGTTATTTGTGTAACTAAAGTTATACTCAGACTTCTTTGAAAATTTCCTTATGAAATACGATATATTTCAATACATTTGTATTAGAAAGGAATATATTCCCTTCTCTTTCAATCCTCCTGACTTTGAGGGCTAGCACTTAATTAGTCACATATGTATTTTCAGAACAATGCCATGAACAATTCTATTGCAAAGAGAAGATGGTTTATTAATGTTTTCACTAATCCACACATAACTGTATGACAGAATATAGATTACTAACAGTTGGATAAAAGCTTATGATCAAGTGTGAGGAACGTTTCCTATTTTTGAAGTGAATAGTTTTGCTCAAAATTAATATTTGGCAGTATTTCTAAGCTGTTTGTTTTATCCTTCCATTAAACACACACGCACATATGCGTAACACTGAAATATACAATCCTACTTTAAGAATAAATGTGTTAAAATTTACATGCCTTCTACGGATAAACCAAAGTGATGCTGGTGGATCTGAAACTATATATTAGAACTCTGCATGAAATATGATGTAACCAATGGAAAAACTTTTTCTTACACAGCTAATTCTGCAAACACATACCTGACAGAGTATACTAAGGCAAAAGTTGGTACAAAACTTTCAAGTGATCATTCTCTATGTGGTTATGCCCAAGCCATCAACTATTAATGATAAATTAAAAGACTCTTTACCTGTCAGGACCTGAGTTCAGGCACTCAAAAGTTTCGTATTTCTCTTGCAGAAGCTGATGACAATACTAATCCCTGCACTGTGTAGGGAGGTGCATTCCTTGCACTGGCTTAAGTGCTAATGATTTCACCAACCCTTGAAGTGCAGAACAGTAAAAAAACAGTTTTCAGCCGTTTTTCTTACTGATTTCTCATTTTAAAAAATATTACAAAGATTTCAAATAGGTTTTAAAATAAATTATTTCTGTTTAAAAGGCAGTGCTTTAGTTTAAAAAAGACACACGCCAATAGATCTTTCTGGGTTACTGCACATATCACAAGATGGCCTTTTTCATCAATTAAAAACTTACACAAAGAAGCAACAACTTCACGCCTTCAAATCATTTTCTGATTTTACCTGAAAGCACCAAGATTTTGGCTACAGATATGTAAAACAGTCTTCCAGAAGGCAATCATAAATAGGTACTAGATGAGATTAGCTGGGTTAAAAAATGGTATCTCTCCTATTAACCCATTTATCACCCTGTCACCAGCATACAGCCCTAGAAGGAGCTGACAGTCAAGTTCACAACTATTAGTTTCTAAAGAAACAATATTATACTCTCCAAATAAGATAAAAATCAAGAAATGCTTCTCTATCTAAGGGCAAAATTAAGCTATGTATATATCTGGAAGGCCAAATCTATCTGTTCTGACTCCTTAAAACACGAAATTAATACAACTCCCCATTCTTTTATACTCTAAAATTAAACGGGTTTACACCACTCCAGGTATTTCCTACTGCTATAGGAGAACAAATTGAGAAATGTACCTTAGCTAGTTCTGAAGAAAATATTTTATGTATGTAAAAAAATTTAATGTTTTATATGAATCACTCTCCAAATCCTCTCTACTGTATGAATTTTCATTGAGAATACTAACGCTGCTTCCTTAAGATTCAGATCATTATGAGCTTGGCACCATTCAGTTATGCATATTCAAACATTTAAATTCTCTGAATTCTTTCCTGGCATTTCAGTAGAGCAGGATAAAAAAACAAACCTGAGCTGAAACCATGCCAGCTGGAGGGTACACACTTATTTTACTAGTTCTACCTATCTAAACTTGACAACATTTTAAAACCCTATATTGAATTTAAATGTTCTCTATCTACAACAAAGAAAGCTTGCCTTGATATGCCTAGCTAAGGTGCTCCCATTTTTCTTCAGCTAAAGAAATTAAACAGTCTCTCTTTCATTTACCAAACAATTTTTTTAAAGTTGGCACTCAATCAAAGTCCATTTGAAGGATCTGTTCCTCTAACTTAAAATGGCAGCAGCTGATCTCAATTACGATCAACTGAACATAAGTACTTCTTGGCAATAATACGTTCAACTGCTACTTGCATTTTTTAATCTTTCTATGGACAAGATATTTTAAGAAAAATCCACAAAATAAATATAGCCAGGCCTTAAAATGTTACTTGTATGCTTATTTTCAGTATAATGTAAAGAAGGGAAATAGCAATACAAAATGTAAATTAAAAGGTCAAATTTCTAACTTAATTTATATCAAATGAGAAAACTTTCTAAGAGGAAAAGTCTGAGTAGTAGAGGCTAACCAATAAGCCATTTTAACAAAGAATGTGAAGAAGTCAAGAGTAAAAAGTAATTCAGATCCAATATTAATACACTTGTAAGTTTATACCAAACTTGATAACTTTTTAAAATGCAGTTTATGTGGGAATAAGAATTCAGGCCAAAACTGATTATTCAATTTAATTCTTACTGTAATTACAAGGTCCAAAATATTTCTTATTTTAAAGATGCTAATTGAGTTCCCTCACATTCTATACCATGTTTCTTTTAAACATATTCTTCCCCTGTAATTAACTCCATCATCTAGTTTCTAACCTTCACATTAGATCTCATACAGCAAATATTTTTCTCCCAATTATGAGTAACACTATCTCAATTTTAATCTATTTTTCAAGAGAAAAAAAAAAAACTTTAAGAAAACCGCATATGAACTAAGTCTGCCTGAGAAACTTTTCATGTCCAAAGTACTTAATTTTTAAATAACTCTTCAGCTTTACATGATTGATATTATATTTATTTTACACTCATGAAATGTGATCTGCCTAGGGTCACAAAATAAGTTAATGTTTGAAGCAGAATTTAAATTGTTACATTTCCTTTATCTTACATTACTCAAATATCTCCTATGACCATCTAAAGAATTTTCCTATTTCAAAAGTAACAAACATTAATATCTTAATTTGCAAGTGTATATATTATGTATACACACACACAAAAGCACATACAAGTACATATTATACATAAATACAGAGACAGCAAATTAAAAGGGAAAACAGCGCTTACCTTCATCTCCTTCTGGTACATATGAAGCTGTAATAATGTCAATATCAGCACAATTCATCACAATCTGATTGGTTGCCTGCCTCACCTAAGGAGAAAAAAAAAAAATCGGCAATGTCAGAAATAGCCTAGGTTAATAATATGTACATCTTCATCTCAGCCTAAAATATGTCACAGGCAATTTTTAAAAACCCATACATCAGCGGTTCCCACCTTTTTGGCACCAGGGACCGGCTTCGTGGAAGACAATTTTTCTATGGATGGGGTGGGGTGCGGGTTTCAGGCGGTAATGGGAGCGATGGGGAGCAGCAGATGAAGCTTCACTCCCTCATCCGCTGCTCACCTCCTGTTGTACAGCCTGGTTCCTAACAGGCCAGACTGGTACCAGTCCGAGGCCCGGGGGTGGGGGACCCTTGCCAAACACCACTTAAACCAATACTAAATATATATGCATCAATGGTATAAATTAATGACTAGTTCTGAATAGATATTATAATATCTGGATTATATTAAAAGCAATAATAAATAGGTATTTCACAGAATTCAAAGATCTGACCAATGAGCTAAATAAAAGCCTTTTTTTTTCTACTTAAACTTGATTTAAAACAACTTTTTTTTTTTTTTTTTTTTTGCTGTACGCAGGCCTCTCACTGTTGTGGCCTCTCCCGTTGCGGAGCACAGGCTCCGGACGCGCAGGCTCAGAGGCCATGGCTCACGGGCCCAGCCACTCCGCGGCATGTGGGATCTTCCCGAACCAGGGCATGAACACGTGTCCCCTGAATCGGCAGGCGGACTCTCAACCACTGCGCCACCAGGGAAGCCCTAAAACAACTTCTTAATTAAACTTTTTAATTTCAAAAAAATTTTAATTAGGAAACATTTCTTATATGTTGCAATTAATCATGTATTTCAACCTGCACATCAAAACCATCATGAGGGTCCCCTCTTTTTGTAAGGATAGAGGAAGAAATCTGGTATCATAAACTATGTCAGAACTTCATAAAACACTCTCTAAATTTTTTCTTTTCCTGAAGAAACATTTTGAATATAACAGACACTTATGACTCACCACCAAGATTAAATAAACTTTTAAGACTTTGTCTTACTTGATTTAGATCCAAAAAATAAAATACAGATATAATGAAAGCCCATTCCTCTCTTCCTCATTCCCTAGAGATAACCACTATCCTAAGGCTAATGTATATCTCTCTCATATATGTTTAGTACTTTTGTTACATATATAAAGATCAGCAAACAATGTTTTTAATCTTACACAAATGGTATCAAAAGTGTGTATAACCTTTTGCAACCTGTTTTTTTAATTTAACATTGTTTCTGAGATAGGTAAATGCTGATAGATGTAAACCTAACTCATTAATTTTACTTCTGCATAGTAGTATTCCATTCTATAAATAAACCACAGTTATTTATCCATTTCCTTCCTGAAGGAAGTTAGGTTATTTCCACTTTTTTGTTATGTAAAAGAGTACTATAATAAACATCTTGGCCCATGTCTTCTTGTGCACCCATTTTCTTTACCAAGAATTGCTAAAATTATCCTCCAGAGTAGTTTCAATGCACACTCCGATAAGCAAAGAATAAAGAAATCCCAGTTTCAGCAACCTCCAAAAAACTTAATTTTTCGACAGTCTGGTGGGTATTAAATGGTATACCAGGGACTTCCGTGGTGGCGCCGTGGTTAAGAATCCGCCTGCCAATGCAGGGGACACAGGTTCGACCCCTGGTCCAGGAAGATCCCACAGGCCATGGAGCAGCTAAGCCCGTGTGCCACAACTACTGAAGCCAGAGCGCCCTAGAGCTGTGATCTGCAACAAGAGAAGCCACCACAATGAGAAGCCTGCGCACAGCAAGGAAGAGTAGCCCCCGCTCGCCACAACTAGAGAAAGCCTGCGCATGGCAACAAAGACCCAATGCAGCCAAAATAAATAATGAATAAGTAAATTTATTTTAAAAAATGGTATTCCATTATTGTTTTAATTAGAATTTCTCTGATTACTAGTAATATGAGTTACCTCTTTTCTCTTTCTTTCTCTTTCTCTTCCTCTGCCTCCCCCACCCCTGCTTCCCTCCCTCCCTCTCTCTTTCTTTCTGTTTTGACCCTTAAGTTTTTCCTCTCCTACTTGCTCATTCATAACCCTTGCTCATTTTCCATTTGGTTGGAACCTTGTCTTTCTATAACTGTTGCATTACACAAAATCTCAAATTCATTTTCAGACATTTTAATAGTCTAAATCTAAAATAACAAAAATACAGATGTCCTAAATCACATATGCCTACAGAGGCCAATGAAACAGATGAGTACAGTAGGCCAGGTGAAGGCTATGCATAAAGGAAAGCTATGTGTAAAGGAAGGGGGAAGTAGACATTTCTTGGAGCTAACGAATTATTGCTATATACAATAAAAAACAGACTGAGTGTTGACAGATCTTCCAATTAAAAAAAGCCACAAATTCAGATTTCATGTGCAATCTCCCAATTTCTAATTGATGACAACTAATTCAAAATTTTCTAAAACACTGTATAGACCAAACAAAACCCAACAGTGCCTTGAGTGTCACTGAACGGACCACAGAACTAGGTAAGGACACAGAGTAATATAAAATCTGTATGAAAAAGCTATACCTAAGAGTAATTATTTTATTAATAACCAATACATAAACATGATTAATATTAAACTAAAATTACCTGACCTAAATTACAGATAGTATGTTATTAAGCCTGTAACAGACTGTCAAAATCTCTAACACATAAAGTGAAACTATTTTGGCTCATTTAAAAAAAAAAAAATTCTTCTCATAAATCTTCCTGTTTCTAAACAAAAATGCCATTTAGTGAACAGTTTTTTGGGTTTTTGTTTTTTGGGTTTTTTTTTGTAAGTGATAATATTCCTTCACACTGTTTACTTCACCAGAACATACCTAAACAGCACTAAAACTTTTACATCTCAACTGGCTGTTTATAGCACTATGTTTGAACAAAAAGAAAAGAACAACTCTTTGCCTATTCACAAACTGACTTTTAAAAAAATTTTCAGAAACACAAAAATGAAGCACTGGGGTGTGCTCCAAAGGGTAAAATGAATAAAAACCTTCCAGAGTTTGACGTTTATGCCAACAAAATCATTAACAGTGGCTTAGTTACATGTTTGTTGTTTTGTTTTGGGTTTTTTTAATATTTATTTATTTATTTGGCTGCGCCAGGTCTTAGTTCTGGCACATGGGATCTAGTTCCCTGACCAGGGATCGAACCCAGGACCCCTGCATTGGGAGCACGGAGTCTTAACCAGTGGACCACCAGGGAAGTCCCTAGTTACATGTATTAATCTTTACCTAGGCAATCCTATTTTCATCCACCAACACCTACAATGAATTTAATGGTAGCCAAGCAGTTAATCTACCATGTCAAGATACCTGTACTGGGCTTCCCTGGTGGCGCAGTGGTTGAGAGTCCGCCTGCCGATGCAGGGAACGTGGGTTCGTGCCCCGGTTCGGGAAGATCCCACATGCCGCGGAGCGGCTAGGCCCGTGAGCCATGGCCGCTGAGCCTGCGCGTCCGGAGCCTGTGCTCCGCAACGGGAGAGGCCACAACAGTGAGAGGCCCACATACCGCAAAAAAAAAAAAAAAAAAAGATACCTGTACTACACTACATATGCCAAATGACATTTATCTCACTACTATTGTACCATTTTGAGGGAAAGTGTTCGTTAACTTTGGAAAGGTACAGGGCACAACATCTAGTTACAAGTACATTCCAATTCTTCCTGGGTTTAGGGAAAACCCACCTGTTTATACTAATGAATTAAGCTGCTTGTTGAACAGCAATTCTTTTTTTGTGTGTGTGGTACGCGGGCCTCTCAGTGTTGTGGCCTCTGCCGTTGTGGAGTACAGGCTCTGGACGCGCAGGCTCAGCGGCCATGACTCACAGGCCTAGCCACTCTGCTAGCATGTGGGATCTTCCCGGACCGGGGCACGAACCCGTGTCCCCTGCATCGGCAGGCGGACTCTCAACCACTGCGCCACCAAGGAAGCCCAATTAATTCTTTTTTTCAGGGTATTGCCATTTCTGGAAGGGTGGAAGGGGAGAACTAAAGGAACAAAAATACTTATCTTAATAATAGAACTCCACTCAAACTTTAAAAAACAGACAGTATATTCTGTCTCATATTAAAGATTTTTTTTTTTTGGCCGCACCTCGCGGCATGCAGAACTTCCCCGACAAGGGATCAAACCTGTGCCCCCTGCAGTGGAAGCGTAGAGTCTTAACCACTGGACCACCAGGGAAGCCCCTAGAGATGCATTTTAAACAACAGGATAATCCATAGAAAGGGCTTTTACCACTTAGTGCCTGATACATAGTAATCACTTAATAGATGACATTATTAAGACACATGCACAGAGGGCTTTTCTGGTGGCACAGCGGTTAAGAATCCACCTGCCAATGCAGGGGACACGGGTTCGATCACTGGTCCAGGAAGATCCCACATGCCGCGGAGCAACTAAGCCTGTGCGCCACAACTACTGAGCCTGCACTCTAGAGCCACAAGCCACAACTACTGAGCCCACATGCCACAACTACTGAAGTCCACGTGCCTAGAGCCCATGCTCCTCAACAAGAGAAACCACCTAAATGAGAAGCCTGCACACCTCAACGAAGAGTAGCCCCCCACTGGAGGCAACTAGAGAAAGCCGGCGCAGAGCCACGAAGACCCAACACAGCCAAAAATAAATAAATAAAATAAATAAATTTAAAAAAAACCCATGCACAGAGACCAAGACTAAATGTGCACCTAATAGTCTATAAAGTACCTAATCAAAATGCTATAAAATTTAAGAACTATGTGCTGTATTATACAGCACATATTATATCTTATATTGGATATCAGCATACTCTATGTACCAACCAAGGAATGTAATTTAAAATATCCGCGTGGACTTAAGCGTATGCTTAAGTACTCAACCACCACACTGATCTTTTTGATGCTTTCCCAACAAGAGCACTGACTAATGATTCAATATGATTTCCCACACACTAACATCATCATGTTATTGAATACTACCTGTATGTTC